CCCGCCCCGCCCCACCATACCCTATGGCAGTGTTTCTCAACCCTGGTCCTGGGCGCCCCCCAGCACTACACATTTTTTGTGTCTCCCTAATCAAACACAGCTGATTCAACTCATTAGCTCATTAAAAGAAACTCCAGGACCTGAAATGGGTGTCAGATAAGGGAGACATACAAAATGTGCAGTTTTGGGGGGCACTCAGGACCAGGGTTGGGAAACACTGCCCTATGGTTTTGTGAAACGCCGCCACTGGTTGAGAATGATAGTAAAATAAAGACCAAGAGAGAATAAAATGCGATAAAAATGCGATACAAATACACAAGATAAAATGAATATGTGCATGTTTTTTCTCTATTCAATGGTCATTATCAACATTTGCTATCGTTCTCTTAGACCAACATACAAAACATGCCACTGCAATCAAACACGCCAAAAAAGAAGAAAAAGAAAGAACAAGAATAGACAGTAATAATAATAATAATTTCACCATGCTTGACCTAAAATAAATATATTTCTTGCTGAAGACCAGCTTGAATTTTAAACACTGATTTATGCTGTTTATGGTGAATGTCTTGTCTTTAAAATTTTAATATTTAAAGTCACATTTACTTAAAGAAACATTTTCATGGTTAAAAAGACACAGTTAATTGAAAACATATTAAGAGTACACACATTCCTAAACACGCAGTTCAAGCTTTGAGTTTAAATATACGTACATCACACTTAACTAATGTCTTAATTTAAGTCACTGTGGTTCTCCTGTGTTTATTTGAAACGCAACAGAAGCATACAGTGATACTAGAATTTTCACTTTGAGGTCAGAATTTACTAAATATATTTACATTTAAGACAGTTCTGAACTAGGTGTTTGTAACCAACATACAAGACCACTTGGACTTTTGACCTTAAACCTTACAGTTTGTGAGAAAATCCCTATAAGACATTTAGCCTAATTTCCTCTATACCACAAACACACAACAGATATGTGATGATAAGGAATCTAAGGAAAGATAATAAAAGGAGCTCTTACCTGTTTCACCAACGCTCATGACCAGTGATAGCACTACAAACGATCAGGATGAAACCAGCACCGTGGTTTTCACACTCTCAAGAACACACTCTGATGTGATGCATGCACCTTATATTTAATATGTGGTTATGACACTTCACCTTGTGCAGATAGTGGTAACAAAGCCATCACCACAGTGATGCCATTAGACTAAAGGCATAAAACAGAAGTTAAACTGTGAGAAACCTTACATCAGTCCATATAATGTTTTGTGTATGTTCCCAATGAACCAAGAAAATAATTGCTTGATAGTGCATTTTATAATTTTTGACTAGGCCTAATTAATAGCAATTCGGTAATAAACATCAACAACTTCAAAAACATGCTGATGAAGCAGAAGTAGGCCTACAGCTACTTCATCTGAATGGCTAAATCCTTAGTAGTCTTCTAAGCGTTTTCTTATAAAACTATAAATATGGCGATATTTAATATGCATAAATTGTTTTACCTGTAGCGAAAAAAAAAAAGTGTTGAAAAAAAAACCCTTAACACTGACATCATCTTTAGTCATCATCTTGATCACGTGAACCTCGTGAGAGGGTTGACAACTCTCACGCAGTTGACACTGCTCTCACGCCACATGCCCATTTTCTAATGCAGTGAAAAGCACTCCCAAACGAACATGACAATTTGTTCGGGACTAATATTATCACGCGATGGTGTTTGGCGAAATATGGTAGGTCATTTTTAAATTATAGAATTATCAAATTATAGACATGGCCGATTCGCACGGGATTAAGATCACAGACAACCTCTGCAATTATTACAAATGACAAGAGGTAGGGCCCTAGTTTTCTTCAGAGCTATTAGCACATGTGTGATGCATTGACAAGAATTATAATATGCAATATTATAGGTGTGTGTGTGTGTGTGTGTGTGTGTGTGTGTCAGGGCCTGAGTGGGACTCATTTTCAGCCCTGGAGTTTCATGCCCACTTTAGTTCATACCAAACTATATCACTATACTATATTATATTATATACCTCAGTAGGATATATAAGTTTGCAATAGTGCACTGTTCTCCACAGCCTTCTAATTCATTGTATTTTTCTGGAGATTTCGTTTTGATGTACAAATCTTAACTTAAGAAATGGAAAATAGGGGACAATTGATATTTTTATTTAAAGGAAATAATAGACAGAATAAGGGAGACTCAAAATATTTATACAGTACCATAATGTATGTCTGCCTGCAGTTAAAAAGTTCCCAGAAATAATCACATTTGTTTTGCTTAACCTATAATTAGCCTATTCAAAGATAATTGCAATGTCATACAAAAAATTTAATCGGCCTGAGTAAATTGTACTATTATAGAATTGTGACTGCACAAGTAGTGTAGACGGCTAATTTAGGAGGTGAAAATACTGTGAAATTACATACATACAAATGGCATGAAATTTGAAAGCATAACAATTGAACATCTATGAAATGTCAGTCAATAAAGAATTTTTTATTTTTTTACAATGGCACTTGAATTTTTTAACTAAACTTTTATTGCAACCATTAATGTATTTGGTCTTGGCGGAATAAATCTGCTACACTGCTACTGTTGCTTATTGCTGTTGTTGTAGATTATTGCTGCTGCTGCTGCAAAGCAAGTACAGGAACTTGCTACTGCCAATACATATGCCGATACGGTGCTGTGAGTATTTAAGACATACTGCTGCTACCCATATAACATATATAATAACCTGTCGCAGATCTATACAGGTGGAGCTGGGGAAGGTGGAGGGTTTCAGTGGAACTCAGAAAGAGTGCTAACCAGCCATTTAAATGTAAAGCCGTAAGCTCATTGGCTGCGAACGCAACATGAACCAATCAGCTTGTGCCAAGCAGTTTAGCTATGAATATCAACAATTTGCATTAACGACCCATCAGTCTGCATCATCTAGAGTTTCATAACACAACTTCTAACCCAAGTCAGACTTGAAACCCGAAGGTCGTGAGTTCGAGTCTTAGTACCGGCAGGAAATGTAGGTGGACGGACAGCGCTCTCTTCCTTCCTTAATACCAACTACTTAGTCACATGGACCCTTTAACGGAAATATTAAACATATAAAATATTATTGAAACAACTCACAGTGTGAAAACTTGTTTTTTTAATTACATTCTGAGTGTTTATTCATGTCACACATGAACACAATTCATTACTTTCTAAAGGACCATTGAAAAACATCACTTCACTAGAGAATGTGCACTCTAAAGAGGCGTTTTCATCGAATGTCATGATGTGTGTGTGTCCAACATCCAAAAGTGGAGTAAAGTTTAAAGGTGGGGTAAGCGATTTTTCAAAAACGCTTTAGAAAACTGATTCGGGCCGACTAGAAAAACAAACTTGTAGCCAATCAGCAGTAAGGGGCGTGTCTACTCATGATGTGGAGGATAGAATGTTCAGTGCACAGTACGGACATTAGCGAGTTGAGTGACAGAAAGATAGAGATGGCGGATAAAAAACTAAAGTGGAAAACGTCTGTGGAACAAAAGAAGGCTTAAGGCAAGAAGTAGGACTCGTGTAAATATCGGATCAGCTTTCCAGCGCTGCAGAGAACTCAAGGAGCGGAAGGCCTGCAATCGGACGCCGAGGTTGCATTGTTTCTTCTCGATAGGTTAGTAACACCGTGTCTGCACCGCAACAGCTAAAG